AATGTTGACAATCATTTCCTCTTCCTTCTTTTTTATTTGTAAGTTCAAAAATTAGTTTTAACTCGTCCGATGAATCGATAAAATTATGAGTTCGACGAACGAATCACAATAGCGTAGGAAGAAAGGAAATGAAGAGGAAAATGTTTTCTTTTTTCTTTTCTTTTCTATTCTTTTTTCTCCTTATTTTTGCTTTTCTTTTCTTTTCCACTTCCAGAAATTCATATTATCCGATAAACTCAGGAGATCCAAAAGTAATTTCAGTGTACGTTTCTTTGCTGTAAGAAACGATGAGCTGCGAAAAGTATATTTATATTCGGGCACATAAAAATATACGCGAACGTTTCTACGTTCACGATTTAGACGTATTTACGTACGCGTGCATAGAATGAGCTTGTGCTAGCAATAGAGAGAGAGAGAGAGAGAGAGAGAGAAGGAAGGAAGGAGGGAGTAAGAGAATCGCAGAGGGTTAATATTTCTTTGAGGTGCAACGTAGGAGTTGAAAGTTACACATAACCGAATGAATAAGAGTAAGTGAGGGTGAGAGAGAGAGAGAGAGAGAGTGAGAGGGACAGAGGGAGAGTGAGATATTTCGCGTGTTGACTTGGGAGTCGTAATTACTCTTGTTCGACTCAAAGATAGACGGTCTGTGTATTCTCATTGGAGATCAAGATATAGAACGAAATGGATGCGTTGGACGTAGCCAAAATTCACGTTTATTCTCCCTCTCTCTTTCTCTCTATTTATCTCTTTATCTCTACCTCTCTTAGTCAGTAACTTTACTTCTGCTCTTGAAAGATCCGATTTAAATAGAAAAGAAATTGGATCGAAATCGAAGGAGATTAGAAGGCAGAATTTGTCTTCAGTGAACGAAAGACGATATAACAGTATTCTTCGTATAACCTCTTTAATTAATAGTTTACTCGGTGATTCATAGTAGATCGAGCCTTAATTGGACGTTATTTGAGTGTCCTCCTATTTACGCCGGCTGTATAAACGAGATATACGTTCTCGCAGGTGACGTTGAATTAATCTCGGTTATCGCGAGGCCACCGTTATCCTCGCCATGTTCTCTCTCTCTCTCTCACTCTCACTCTCGTTCTCTCTCTCTCTCTCTTTCACTCTCTTACTCTATCTCTATCTTCGTCATTCATCCTCTCTTTCTCACTCTTATACTCACTATTCGTTAGCCAACATACCGGTTAGCAAGATTCAACTTGATTAACAGAAAATTTTCTGTCAAAAGAATAATTCTTACTCTCGGAAGGAGGATGGACGTTATACTCGTCGTAGTTATATGACCAAGGATAGAGAAAAAGACGTTACTCCAACGAGTTATGGACTGAATCTGAAGATTTATATAAACTCTCGCATTCACTTTCCGTGGAAAAATGAATAACCGACAATGTCGTCCAAGTCGCCGGCATCCTTCCCGTTCAAGTCGTCGTCGTCGTCGTCGTCGTCGTCTTCATCGTCTTCGTCGTCGTCGTCGTCGTCGTTGTCGTTGTCTTCGTCGTCATCTACGTTCACGTCCTCATCTTCATCTTCGTCCTTAATTTGATTCATATGAATGCGTAATTTTAATAACCGTATTCATGTTACCGAGCTTTCTGCCATTCACGTCGGCTGAATAAACGAAGGGAGTAATGGTGATGAGGAGGGGAGATGGAGGAGGAGAACGAATAGAAGTAGAAAGAGAAGGAGGAAAAGAAGAAGAAGAAGAAGAAGAAGAAGAAGTACGATGCCAGTTGGAAATCTGGTTAAAGATGATTTTATATGTCCCAACTCGAAGGATAAAGATTTCTTTCTTTCTCTTTGACTCTAAATAAAAGGTCATAGACCGGGATCAAGCGGCGTCGACTCGTAAAGACTACGTCATAATTTATCCTACAAACGGAAAGAATCTTCTTCTTCTTCTTTTTTTCTTCTTCTTCTTCTTCCCCTCTTTTTCTTTTCTTCTTCCACTATTACTTCGTCTAGAGCGAACAAAAATCCTTCCGTGACTACGTTTCAACGTTTCCCCATCAGAAAAGAAGCCGACATTTTGACGTACGTCGTCGAGTCTCGTTATAATGACAAGCATGAAAATTTATGCGCGGCATCATCGAATTCTTTCATCTTCGTTCCCCATCACATTCCAACCTCGAAAAGTTGGATTTACTTCGATCCTTGACTCGGCAACCCAACGAGTAATAATATTAGATGGCTTTTACCACCGCAAACAACCACTTCGGTTTGCTTTTCCTTTCATCCCGGATGCGCTAAGTGAATTTTATTGGATACTTTAGTATTTCTTTCTTGCTCTCTCTCTCTCTCTCTATCTATCTATCTATCTATCTATCTATCTATCTATCTTTCTATCTATCTATCTATCTATCCATTTATCTATTTATCTATCTATCACTCTTTCTATTTTTCCGGATAGATAACTACTACCTCTGCTATAAGTAAACTAATGCGAGTTTTTCATAACCAACGTGGTTTTATCTTTCATCGACGTAAA